GTTCAAAATTATAGAAGAGGAGAATATTGGTTAAAGGTTGTTGTTAGTCGCAAAGTCATGTCCAACCCATCATGACCCCATGGACAACGTTCCTCCAGGCCTTCCTGTCCTCTACCATTTTCTGGAGTCCATTTAAGTTCACGCCGACTGCTTCAGTGACTCCATCCAGCCACCTCGATCTCTGCCGTCCCCTTCTTCTTTTGCCCTCAATCTTTCCCAACATTAGGCTCTTCTCTAGGGAGTCCTTCCTTCTCATTAGGTGGCCAAAGTATTTTGAGTTTCATCTTCAGGATCTGGCCTTCTAAAGAGCGGTCAGTCAGGGTGGATCTCCTCTAGGACTGACCGGTTGGATCACCTTGCAGTCCAAGGGACTCGCAGGAGTCTTCTCCAGCACCAGAGTTCAAAGGCCTCCATTCTTTGGCGCTCAGCCTTCCTTATGGTCCAATTTTCACAGCCATACATTGCAACTGGGAAAACCATAGCCTTGACTGTATGCACTTTTGTTGGCAGGGTGATGTCTCTGCTGTTTTTTTTTTGTTTTTTTTAACATTCAGGAAGGCAAAAAAAAAAAAGGTTAGATAATTGGGCACATGTTACTCAACAACTTTCTTGAGTTATCAATGGAAATTCTGGTTCCAACCGCCCATCTGGGATGGTCCGGGATTTGGGAATGTTTGGAAAGATGTCATGAGAAGCGAGAAGAAAACTTCGAATACTTTTTAAAACGGCATCCATTGCAAGGATATTTAGAGCACAATTGTCTCATTTACTTCACAACAGGCTGCGTCTTTGCCACAAAGTTGGGGAGACAGGCTGAAATACAGCCACCGCAATATATCACTTCTTTCTTAAACAACAAACTATATTGAAATATAGCCTACTGTCTTGCAGCATTTTGTCCCATTAAAACCATAAATCCCCCCTTTTCCCCCCAATTAACAGCCTCTATTTATTTATCTTGACAGGGTTGGTAAAATCATTAATGTTCATTTGCATAATTGGCTACAGGGCTATTGAAGGATGGAGATAGCTGTGCTAAGATTCACCATCTCAAATGCCCTACAAAGGAAGGGAATGTCCCTCTTTCTGCTAATGGACACATTTGAGGGGGTGGGGATAGAGAATTACGAGGAAGGACTGTGCGTAAGGGATGAGTGAAGCTTGAAGAGGTAGTAGGTAGACCTAGAACCAAATGTGCATAGATTCTGGGTCCATCCACCCATCTTAAAGTTGCCAAGACTCGAAAAAAGTGGCCTAGAATAGCTTGGCTCTTGGAGTTGTGGTCCATCCCTGAAGGTGTTCAAAAATAGGCTGGACACCCATTTGATCAGGACGATCTGTTTCAACTCCTACCCTCAAAATGATGTTATAGAGCACTGCACACCACAACTAGACACAAGAACCGTTTTTTCTCGAACGCCATCACTCTGCCAAACAAATAATTTCCTCAACGCTGTCAAACTAGTTACTAAGTCTGCATTACTATTAATCTTCTCATCGTTCCTATCACTCATCTCCTCCCACTTATGACTGTTACCTTGTTGCTGGTATCCTTAAGATTTATATTGACTGTTTCCCTATGACTATCATTAAGTCTTGTACCTTATGATTCTTGATGAATGTATCTTTTCTTTTATGTACACAGAGAGAGTATGCACCAAGACAAATTCCAAGACAATCACATTTGGCCAATAAAGAATTCTCTTCTCTTCTCTTCTCTTCTCTTCTCTTCTCTTCTCTTCTCTTCTCTTCTCTTCTCTTCTCTTCTCTCCTCTCCTCTCCTCTCCTCTCCTCTCCTCTCCTCTCCTCTCCCTTCTCTTCTCTTCTCTTCCTTCTCTTCCTTCTCTCCACTCCTCCACTCCTGCAAACCCCCAGCAGCCCACACCCCTGGTTCTATGGTACTAACTCCTAGGTAATAGCACCGAGAATAGCACAACTTATCTAAAGCAGGGTGTCCAGCCTAAGATTGGTGGTGTTGATTAGGTTTTGTGAAGCCTGGATTCAAATCCACCCCAAGCCACTAAAATTCACTGGGTGACTCCTGGGCCAGTCGTAGCCCCACCAACCCTGTACGACTATGGCAGTAAAGGGAGAACTGAAGAAAGGAATATCGTATACAGTAGTGGCCAAAATTGTGGAAACCTTATGGGAAAAGTGTGTTTTCTAAAACTAGCTAATAATACCACTTTTTTGGGGGGGAGTAGCACCATAAAATTATATATCAATGGAAAGATAATTTAATCAAAAATGTAATGCAATAACTTTTAGGGAGGATTTGCTATTAGAATAGCAGTTACGGTATAAAGAAGATAAGTGAAACACATAGAAAAAACGAGATATACAAAAATGATCACCGCAGAAAAAATGAGATAGACAAAAATTATCACCATGTCAGTTAATACTTAGTTGGGTAACCTTTAGCATGAATTACGGCCTTACAACATCTTCCCATGGAGTGAACCAAGTCTTTTAGTTCTGCAGCTGTTATAATGTGAAACCAAGATTGAAGGATGGCTTCTATTAACTGAGTTTTATTGCTGGGTCGCTTCTGACTAACAAGTTTCTTTAGTCGGCTCCATAGATTTTCAATTGGGTTAAGGTCTGGGCTATTCCCAGGCCATTCCAGCAGTGGAATAGGATTATCTTGAAACTCAAAAAAAAAAAAAAAGTGGTGTTATTAACCGTCAAACCTCAAAAATACACTTTCCCTAAAAGGGAATTCCACAATTTTGGCCACTACTATATATCCCTTCAGCTTCTGGAGCAGAAGCTGAAGGGATATATCTGGATGCGAATATATAATATAATATAATAACAGAGTTGGAAGGGACCTTGGAGGTCTTCTAGTCCAACCCCCTGCTTAGGCAGGAAACCCTACACCACTTCATCAAAACAACCTTTTCTATTTTGCAATCGCAAGCAGATATTCGCCTTTGGAAGAAGTCCCTTGTATAATCTCAAATTCTTCTGCCATAGCTCAATAGGCAGATTATTCTTGATTTCTACATGACAAGCAAAAAGAAAAAAGAAAGAAAAGATTTGAAAATGGGACGCTGAGCAACGCAGAGGAGAAAAATAATTGCAGCCATCTTTGAGCGCAACCGAAGGACTGTCACTGGGTTCCATCCGCTGCTTCGCTGTGTGTAATTCACTTGACAAAGCCAATGTTACGGAAAGGTCACCCCGTCTCCTCCTCCTCCTCCTCCTCCCCTCTTTCAAATGATCTTTCTGATTAACTTGAAATAACGAGGCACACGCCAAGCGCCCATCGGCAGACGGAGCGCCAAGCATGGCTGTCATTGTTTCAACCGAAATTTCCAGGTCACGCTAAACAGAGCAATCCAACAGCTGGATGGCTTTCCTGTTCTGGGTATTATCAAGAGGAAGAAGGGAGTTTTCCTGACAACATTGATCAGAAAGATGATCTTATTACATTCCAAGCGAGATGTTTTCGCTTTCTCACCCCACTTTTTTTCCCCCCCAGAGTCAGATGGACTTGATGATGTATTGTTCGTCGGGTTTTCCACTGAATAAACCCAGAAATAAACCGTATATTTTTTTTTAAATGTAAAAGTAACTCAGTGTCGCGTGAAGCCTTCTGCTGTGTTTAAATGTTTCTTCTGCACCAATTTTCTGTTCTGCCTGGGAGCTCAGAGTGGCTTAAGGTCATCTCCTATTATAACTTCCTTAGCAATAGCAGTTAGACTTATATACCGCTTCACAGGGCTTTACAGCCAGGGATGGGCTTAAAATTTTTTAGCAAGGGGTTCTCTGTCCAGTTGCTGGATGGGTATGGCCATGGCGGGCATGGCCTAGTTGGACTCCTGCACAATGAGGGGGGGTGTTTTTGCCCTCTCCGGGCTCCAGAGGTTTTTCTCGAGCTTCCACGAGGGTGAAAACGGCCTCCCGAGGCTCTGGAGGCCCTCTGGAGGCCAGAAACGGCTCATTTCCAGCCTTCCTGAACTTCCGGCAGGCCCATTTTTCACCCTCCTGAGCTTTCGTGTGCGCCCTGCACTTACCTGCATCCAAAATGGGCAACATGGGGACTCCTGGGAGGGGCGGGGGGGCAGCCAGGAGTGGGATTTGGGGGTTCTCCGAACTACACAGAATCTTAGCTAGAGATTCTCCCAAACCTCTGCGAACCCCCAGCAGCCCACCCCGTATTTACAGCCCTCTCCAAACAGTTTACAGTGTCAGCATATTGCCCCCAACAATCTTTACTGTCCGTAGGAGGCTGAGTCAACCTGGAGCTGGTGAGACTCGAACTGCCGAATTGTTGGAAATCAGCAGTCAGTAGAATTAGCCTGCAATACTGCATTCTAACCACTGCACCACCACGGCTCAGCTGATTGTATCATAGTATGATTGTATCTCAGCTTAATCTTCAGGAGCTTCATGGAATTACACAGCTGGTTTTAGGTAAGCATACCCATCACTCCTATTACAGGGTACTTCATGATTGGTTCAGCTGTCAATTTATTGACTAAGCCATTGCATCATGCGGTAAACACCGTAAAACACAGTTTGCAAACCATGGTGGTTTGCTAATTACTTATGCCAAGATGAAGCATGGCACACAAAACATTTGGTATTCAGAACATTTCTGATCAGAAAAATGAGAGTGATATTCTACCCAAGCCACACAACATCTGGTGTCAGATGTTTAAAGATGACTTATGGACAAAGGATGTGTCAGCACTTCAAGCTGCCTTTATTCTAGTGCTGACATAAGAAGGAGGAGCGGAGGCGTCTGGAAAGGGACGTTTGACTTTTCACCTACTTATTTTCCCTGGAGATAATATCCCCTAGGAGATGGGATGGGAGGGGGGAAATTCCTTGAGTTGGAGCAGTAGATAGGGGTAGAGTGATTTGGAAGATGGCCAATGAGTGCAGGGGAGTGGGGAACGGAAAGGTGGGGGTTGGGTCTGGAAGTCAGTGTTGGCTATGATGAGTCGGACTTTGAATGTTGTGCTGAATAAATGGGAGTTTTCTTCAAAGACTTTGTTTGAAATGCAATTTATTTGAGACGACCTCGAAACCTGACAGGATGTCAAACAGAAAGATGCTGAAGACACTGCTGAAGGTAGGATTCATTGGAAGCATTGGATGCTGCCCTATGTGCTTCGTGTGAAAGGAACTGATGATGATGATGATGATGATGATGATGATGATGATGATGATGATGATGATGATTCTACTCAAGGAATATTCAGCAAGTCCAATATGTGGGAATGACCTTCAGAGAAGGAGGAAGAACTTTCAATGAATTGAAATTAAGAGACTTCTGGAACAGAAGAGGGGCACATCACTGGCTCTCCAAATATTGCTGAATTTCAATTTCAGAATTTCTCCTGTATGGGAGGGATGCTGGATTCTGGCATGCAGAAACATCTGGAGGGGCACAGATCCTCAAACCATATTCTAGATGTAAGAGCTCTATCTGTGAATGTCGATCAAGTGCCAGGTTTCTGGGACTTGATTGGGTCTTATTATATCCCTGAAATGATCTCCCTGTTTTCCAAACAGCTCTCCACCCCCACCCCACCCTACCCCAGCCATCCAAATTCTACGAGCTGAGCTGCAGGCACAAGTTTTGTGAGTGGCATTTCTATACTTGACATTCCGTCAGCAACTTGTAATAAAGCTGATTTAGAGACACAGAATAATCATCCATCAATCAGAGAAGTATTTTTGATGCTTCTGAGTTAATGATCGTGCCAGCTACCCTCCATTTCAGTCACCCTGTTGCGACTGGGAGGTGGAGAAGGATGAATGCAGAGAGAGAGACACACACACAGATACACATACCCCTACAATCACACACAAGGCATAAATAATTCATGGATCTTTAACCTCTCAGCTTCTGGAAAGCATCCACCGTGACTCTTAAAACAGCTCTTAAGACCTTGACGAAAAATGCCAGTTATCATTTATTTAATGCGTATATCGCCGCAGCCCAAGGAGTTGAGGTTTAGAAGTAATGTCAACAGACAAAAGGATCATACTTAGAGTCACCCTCCTCTTTCTCCCTGAGGCAAAAGACAATGGGAATTCATTCAAGTCCACTCTATTATTCATGGGGGAAACTGCCGATCACAGCTTCGGAATTGCTCTGAATAAGGGGGTTTGAAATCTCTTGAAATTAAACCGCTAGTTATTAGTCAAGATTTCAAGAATTCTCATTTAAAAGAACCCGAAGCAATTTTTTAATAATAATAATAAAAAAAATAAGAATGCAGAAAGCCATCCTGAATCCATGATGGAACATTTAGAAAAACAGTTCTTATTTCTCCAATGAAGAGTAACATGTTGCACGTCTGCTTGGATAAAATGGGAGAAGGCAGACAATAACAATCCAAAACCAGGGTTATGATAGCCAGAAGAAGACTTTTGTCACATTAGCACTGGACTGAGGCAATGTACAGTGTGTAGACACAAACTGAAGCAAGCTACATAGTCTAGCCACTGGCTTGCAATCTGTTGTGGACCAGCAAAGCTGGCAGCAGATTCGGACAGTGAGGAGGTTAGGGAGGAACTTGCGCCAGTCCTGGAGTCTGGGGAAGGCTCGGACGATGGCTCTGAGTCGGAGGAAGAGAGGGGGCCAAGGCCATCTGGTAGTTCTTTGCTGCCTCCAGAGTCTCTGGTGTCTGACATCAGCGAGGCAGAAGAACAGTGTGAGCCTGTTCCTAGTATGTGCATGTGCAGAGCTGCCAGGAGACAGGAACAATTAAGGAAACAGGGTCGACTTGGGAGTAAGGCTTGGAGATGATTGGCCCCTCCCATAAGACATAAAAGAGAAGCGAACGGGACGTGAGCTTTTGCAGGAAGCAATTCGTTCATCTGGCCGATTCAAGATTTGAAAATTCTGTTTGTGACTCTGTGCCACGTTTGGCCTTGCCCTGCATCTGGAAATTAGCTCTTTGGCAGCGTTCCACGTGAGATAGGTGGGTGTTGATAACCTTCCTCTGGAAGACTGTAAATGAAAGTAATTTACAGCTGTAGGAATTAAAGAGGTTTGCTGGGACTAAGTTTGTGCTGTTTAATTTCTAAGGAAGCCTAGGTCAGAACACAATCATTGAGTCATTGAATCAACCACAATTGTCTTGAGTTCACGCAGTATGCAAAATCATAAGTCAAGGTTTATAAGCCACAATGGTTGAGTTCATTAATTTTGTTAAACCAAACCGAACCGCACGATGGCTTTGCACAATATCCATCAGCTTGTCCAATTACTTACACTTGAAGAGTTTTCATCCAAATGTTTAGTCATTAACGGCTTCCTTGCAGTTTCCATGCTGTCATTTCAAATCCTGCTTTTCGGAGGCACTTCAAAAACAAGTTCTGCAAAACTGCTACGTGTCTTTTTTTAAAAAAAAAACTGGATCATTTTCCAGAGTAAACTTCTCCAAGTCTTCAGCTATTCTACGTAAGACAATTTACAGACTTTCCTTCTCCAGTAGTCCTGTTTTCCAGCTGGACAAGCTAGGGGGGTCACATGTGGCTGAATAAATGATTGACTCCAACAGATGTTCTTGGTAACTCCTGGAAGCTCACAAATTCTACCTTCCGCACTAGTTTGGACCTGAGAAATACCAAATTCAAAGTAGTAAAAAAGTGGCATTTCTTTTCTAACATGATGAAATATTTAACAGGCAAGGAGGACATGAGTAGTGAGAGAAAGAAGTCTTTGAAAGGGCATCACGCAATACAGTAATGGTTTTTAAAATAGTATTCCCTAATCAAGAAATTCCAATTTCCTAGCCTACCAAAAGATCAAACTGACTAGAAATGTCAAGAATTGCAGTCCTAATCCCCCAGACTGGGGAGAAGAAAAAAAAAACACCTGTTTTAGGACACATAACTCAAGTTGAGAGAAACGTTTGTTTACTAGCAAATATGCCCGGTTGCTTAAAAACTTTATTCAGATTCTGTACATCATGAAGACTCCTTCTGATCTCTAAATAACTTTCTTAGCAGAGTTGGAAGAGACCTTGGAGGCAGTGGTGGGATTCAAATTTTCTTACTACCGGTTCTGTGGGTGTGGCTTGGTGGGCGTGGCATGGCTCGGTGAGTGTGGCTTGGTGGGCGTGGCAGGGGAAGGATACTGTAAAATCTCCATTCCCACCCCACTCCAGGGGAAGGATACTGCAAAATCCCCATTTCCTCCTGATCAGCTGGGACTCGGGAGGCAGAGAATAGACGGGGGCGGGGCCAGTCAGAATTTTTACTACCGGTTCTCCAAACTACTCAAAATTTCCGCTACCGGTTCTTCAGAACTGGTCAGAACCTGCTGAGTACCACCTCTGCTTGGAGGTCTTCTAGTCCCAACTCCACTCAAGCAGGAAACCCTACACCACTTCAGACAAATGGTTATCCAACATCTTCTTCAAAACTTCCAGTGTTGGAGCATTCACAACTTCTGGAGGCAAGTTGTTCCACTGATTAATTGTTCTCACTGTCAGGAAATTTCTCCTTTTAGTTCTAGGTTGAATCTCTCCTCGATTAGTTTCCATCCATTGCTTCTTGTCCTGCCTAGTACTTAAGTGACAATTGTTTCTCAGCTTACTATGGGGTTCCTCTGTTATGCAATGGGTTCGTGTACAAAAACATTTAATAAAACACTAAAGCAACAGCCAAAGAGGGTGAAAGGGGAATAAATAGCATGTAATGTTAAAAATGTTGCAGCTGACAAGTTTTTGGTTTGTATTTGGGGTATTTGGGTTCTTCTTCATCGCTCTTAATTGCTCATGGATATCATAATTTTATTTTTCATGCTTAATTGCCTGGATCAGGTTGGGAGCATTAACAAGATGTAAAGAGGGGTATCGCTGCCACATTGGCTAACAGAATTCTCATGGGTTATTTATTTCTACCCTCTATCTCACTTCACTTCATTCTGTCAATACAAAATATACCGGTATGTATATAATATATCCTATTTGGACATAAAATCATCATGAGGCTCCATCTCTGTTTTCCCTTTTGCAAAGTGACGACGATATTAGTCTTCTATAAAGCCTTTTAAGCCATGTAATAAAGTTGTGTTCATTTCATTTCGATAACAGTTTGACTAAGTAGAGCACAGTGCGGCAAATTAATATGGATGCTCAATCAAAGCTCACTAAAATAACTATTTTCTCCCACACAATGCTGCGGCAAAATTATCTCCCATTATCAAAAAGGGTTCTGAAAGCAGCTGTGATTAGAAGGGGGGAATACCTGAATTAATTTGCACCTAATATGTAAAATGCTTGATAAATGTTTTGATAATATTTTAGGGCTTCAATCCTTCTCTGGTTCCTTTCCCCCCCCAGTATTTAATATCTTTTACTCCATCAGGAAACTTTAAGCTGGCAGGAAGTTGCACATAGATGGGGTAAAACAAGACTGAATCTTAATGAAATCAGTTGCACAAAACACAAAACAAGCAAAACCACTCCATCATGTGTAAAGATATTACCCTTGAATCTTAAAACGAATGTTCTGCCCCAGCTCCGGATTCCCAAAGATATTGACACACACCAACAGTCCTTATCAAATTTATTAAGTAGCAAGAATAAACCAAAGTCCGGCAAAGGTTGGCAACCAGCCCAGAAAACAAGATATGATAAGACTATTCCAAAAATGCTCTGATGATAATTACAAGTTGTTTCCAGCAAGAAACTTACTAAAGGCGTGTGACTTAAATAGGCTAAGGGAGTGGCCAATTATCCTCAAGCCTTACTCTCGAGGAGACCTCCTTCTCCTTTGTCTGAAGTGGTGTAGGGTTTCCTACCTAAGCAGGGGGTAGGACTAGAAGACCTCCAAGGTCCCTTCCAACTTTGTTATTCTATTCTGTTCAATTGTTCACAAGTTGTTTCTATGAGAAAGTAAATTAATGGAGTAATTTTTCAAAATACCAGACACATTGCAGTACTGTGATATCATGCCATGTTTAACTTAGGGTCATTATTTTGATATTTCTGTGGTAAAAAAAAAAAAACAGCATTGAAGTAGGGCAGACTTTTTCACAGACGACATTCAATTTCCTTGCCTTGAACTTGCAACTGTCCGGAACTGAGAAAACTTAATTCCCTTCATTTTTTCTGCCTATCTGGAGTGCAAATTGCTTCCATTTTGCAGACGACAAACCAACTTCAGTCAATATTTTAAAATGGAAGAAACAAATGTTAGACCCACCTTACGCACCCGAGTCAAAATTCTATGTGTATATAAAGCAACTGGTGACATTTTGTGATGTTATACAAGTGAGAACAAAATGAATGATATTTTCTTATGCTATAATTAGTCTGCAGCTGAATCTTCTCTGCTAGGTTAATTAACACCCAACACATTTCCCTATTCAAATAAGTCAAATCTGAATAGAAAATCTGTTTTGATTCTGTTAAATCTGAGAAAGCTTTGCATTGATCAAACAAAAGACTTTCTCTACTAGGGTCTCACTACCTGGACAATTTGTATTATTATAAGATCACCTTTTTTTAAAAAAAAAAATCATTCACATCACACCTTTGGGTTCCTGAATCAGAATGATCTGCTCATAGTCACTCATATCTTGGACATCTCCCAGGTTGTTGTGGCTCCGTTATCTGAGCCTGTGTCATCGGCAGGAGAGGACTCAGAGAGTGAAGGAGAGGAGTTGGCAAGGCCTCCCTCTCCAGGACCCTCCTCTCTGGCAATGCCTTCAGTGTCTGCCGAAGGGCAAGAGATAGGGCCGAGGCCAAGCATGTCCATGCAGCCATAGATGGACAGTGATGAGGGTAATGAGTCTTGGCTGGATCCACGCCAGCGTCACAGAGATAAGCGCGCACAACAGAAGAAAAGGCGTGCCCCAGATTAGGCTGAGTCACTGGACCATACCGCACAGGATATAAAAGGGAGCGTGGTGGCCAGTCAAACCTTGTGACGAACAAAGCTGAAATGTGAGCAACCCAATCAGTTCACACACCCACTAGCAGTTAAAAGGAAGAAACAGCTGCGATCTCACATTGCTCCTAGAAGTATGAAGCCGAAAACACCAGCCTGAAGATGACGAATGAGACCATCGAAACGTCACCAAGACACTTCCAATTTTACATGGGAGAAAACACGAATAACCAAAGACCTACATACAAATACCCGCGAAAACCTCAAAAAACATACACACACACACACACACACCACACATACACAAAGGGATGTATTTTAGGTATTTTAATGTACTGTATTCTTTTTCTCTGCAGCTTCTAGCTAGATCAGGCCTATTTTCCAAGTCAATCTTGCTTTGCTAGCCTCTCCCTGTCCTGTGACTGACCTGCGTTTTTCAATTAACACCTAGAAGCGAGGCTCCTTAGCCAAGCTGGATCTTCCAATTTACTCTTAGAAACTGTGAGATAACAAACTTCCAGCTCTAACCCCAATCAGATAATTATTTCCCTCCGTTGCTGCGGCCAGTGCCCAGTGCCTGCCAGACATTTAATCCTTATTAATATCTAACCTTCCTTTTGCTGGTGTCTAAACTGAGCAACTTCAGGGTAGAGGAAGGAGAAAGAGGCTGAAGGGCTGTAAATCTTCCCAACGAAAGCAATCCTTCTGTGACTCGAACTCCACAGACCATCCCTCTCACCAGGGCAGGTTAGAGAAGGATCCCCTCATCAATGAGGATTAATTACATTTTAAGAAACATGATCTTCAGTTCACGTTTACTTCAGTCCTAACTCCTCCTTTAGTGTCCTTCCAGCTTTAGTATCTGCCCTGTAAATTCTAAATTACCTGGCAACACAAGAATTTCTGACAACATCTCTGCACGCTAGATTTGATCCCATTCTTTTCACTTTTTACAACACAACTCTGAGGTCAGGTCCAAAACTAAGAAGCTGAGTTCTTTATTGTTTCACACCTATAAACAAAATCTTGCCAGACTGAAGACTCTCCTACCTCATCTATGACCTACTCTGGGAACTAATGGGGAGGAGCCTTCTTCACCCTCTTTCTCTCACACAAAATATCTGAACTGAATTACCTCTTACTCAGAGGTAGGATTCACTTACCTTCCCTACCAGAAGGTTCGCAAATGTGAATGTGCATCCTCTGCGCATGTGCACAGCCTTCCACGCGTGCTCTTTGCTCACACATTACATCCAAACCAAACAGAACCGGCTGAATCCTACACTGCTCTTACTCCTCGGGAATGCACCCTTTCCCTCCACCTCTTCACTGCATTCCATCACACCATGTATGGACTTCAGCTCCCAGAATTCATCAGCCACCATGTGTGAACTTCAACTCACAGAATTCCTCAGGCCCAAGATCAAGAATGACATGTGGCAATTCTTCCTAACTGAGTTCTTTATTGTTTCACACCTATAGACAGAATCTTGCCAGATTAAAGACTCTCCTATCTACATCTCTGATATATTCTGGGAAATATTATGCAGGAGCCGTCTTCATCCTCATTCTCTCACACATGATATCAGGAGCCGAGTTGTTCCTTCCTCCTGGGAAACTACTTTCTCCCTCTATTCCATCACAGCTGCTAATGGATAAAAGTCCCAATCCTATACATCACGTCTTCCCTGTTGATAAAAGACAGCTTGTGAAGTCCCTGGGTACAATTTAGCACCCCAATCCTCTGAAATTAAAAGTAACACATTTTGCTGTTTTTTCTAAAATGTATTTATTCTTGTGCAATCAAAAGCTTGTGTCCCTTAGGGGATTACTCCTACTCCTACTACAATGCGAAAGACCGAGAGAGAGAGAGAGAAACAGTTTGGGCTATATAAAAGGGGGAGTAACAGCAAAAGATTTCAAATTAACCTGCTATCTTTTTTTTAAATCATCT